ATACACATAAACTATATTACCAAAGTATTTGGACACCCCTCCAAACCATTGGATTCAGGTGTTCCTTGAAATTTCATTGCTACTAGTGGTAGGCCACATAAAATGACAGAGCGGGGTCAGCACATGCTGAAGTGCACTGTGCACAGAAGTCACCATCACCAACTGTCTGCAGAGTCAATAGCTACAGACCTCCAAACTTCGTGTGGCCTTCAGATTAACACAACAACAGTGCGTAGAGAGCTTCATGGAATGGGTTTCCATGGCCGAGCAGCTGCATCCAAGCCTTACATCACCAAGTGCACTGCAAAGCGTGGGATGCCGTGGTGTAAAGCACGCCACCACTGGACTCTAGAGGTGTGGAGACGTGTTCTCTGGAGTGACCAATCACGCTTCTCTGTCTGGCAACCTGATTGACGTGTCTGGGTTTGGTGGTTACATAGTATTGCCAGGAGAACGGTACTTGTCTGACTGCATTGTGCCAAGTGTAAAGTTTGGTGGAGGGGGGATTATGGTATGAGGATGTTTTTCAGGTGTTGGGCTTGGCCCCTTAGTTCCAGTGAAGGGAACTCTTAAGGCATCAGCATACCAAGACATTTTGAACAATTTCATGCTCCCAACTTTGTGGGAACAGTTTGGGGATGGCCCCTTCCTGTTCCAACATGACTGCGCACCACTGCACAAAGCAAGGTCCATAAAGACATGGATGAGTGAGTTTGGGGTGGAGGAACATGACTGGCCTGCACAGAGTCCTGACCTCAACCCGATAGAACAGCTTTGGGATGAGTTAGAGCGGAGACTGCGAGCCCGGCCTTCTCCCCCAACATCAGTACCTGACCTCACAAATGGTCCAACATTCCCATAGACACACTCCTAAACCTTGTGGAAACCTTCCCAGAAGAGTTGAAGCTGTTATAGCGGCAAAGGGCGGAGCCAACCCAATATTGAACCCTACAGACTAAGACTGGGATGTCTTTAAAGTTCATGTGCGTGTAAAGGCCGGCGTCCCAATACTTTTGGCGATATAGTGTGTGTGTATATATATAAAAACATTTTTGTGTAGGACACCTGACACCTCCAGGTTCAACAGCAAACTGGCCTGTTAGCGTTTGTTATCCTCTATGCAGTCAGGACGATGGCTCAGTGTTTCCTGTTTGTCCTGAACCCAGTATCCTGTTTTGAACCTAGTTACCTGTGAGTCCTGAATCCTGTTTTGAACCTTGTTACCTGTGAGTCCTGAACCCTGTTTGAAGTCCTGTTTCATGTGTCTTTTGTTTGCTGTCCTGAGCCTTGTTGGTTGTTGTTGTTATTAGTCTAAGGTGTATATTAAACAAACTCTACATATCTAACATCCTTGCCTGGTCCGTGTAACATACTTGCCTTGTCCGTGTGGTCACATGTGTTTGGTCTGCCTGTGTGGGTACCTGCGGAGGTGTGGGGTCACCTGTGCCGGTATCCCTGACAGAGCTGTAAAGTGCAGCCATTTTGTTGTACTGCAAAACAGGAAGCAGAGCCTGTGTATGTAATGCACAAATACGGCTGCTTAGGGTACATTCACACCTATACTATAGGTGCAGTTAAGGATTCGTATAGCAGGAACTTGCCATTTCTTGCAGCACGAATTTCTAATCTGCCGTTTACAAGCGGCAGCTGTCAATCGTTCAAGTTAATGATCGGGTGACAGCCGCTGCATCATGCATAATCGTATGTGTTAGGATTACATAGGGTTAGGAAGAGACAACTATCCCTGGACGACGTGTCCAGGAATAGTGATTGATCCCTAACCGCATGTACTCATATCTCATCCGATTACATGCGGTGTGCCAGCGTTCTGCTGCTTTCAAATGCAGCCACTGTCACCCGATCATTAACATGAATGGGTGACAACGACAGATTAGGGATTTCAGCTGCAGGAAATCACAAGTTCCTGCCGCAGAAATCCTTAATCGTGCCTAAAATATTGTTGTGAATGAGGGCTTGCCTGTAGATTTACAAACTATACATAGAAACAAAGTTGTTTTATTTTTCTCAAAACACTAACATTTAAATCAAGCTGGTAACTTACTTATAGCTAAACTAGTTAAAATAATTAAATTAATTTTTTATTAAATATTTTAGTTTTTTACTTTATTTTTAGGGGCTTCAGGGAAATATTAGGGTTCTAAACAGACCCCTGATATTTCCCTTTTTAAAACAGAAAAAGAGATTGAGAACACAGTCCTCAATCTCTTTTTCTGCATCCCCCTGTTATAAATGAACAGGAATCCTTTATACTGAGTGTTCCTGAACATTGATAACTTGAGAACATAGTATGTTTACTATAACCACAATTATTAATGAACTGGGGGTGATGTAGATCACTTCCCATCCATTCATAATTGAGGATATAGTCAACATTCCATATCCTCATTTATGTACAAACACTCAGAGATCACTGATCACTGAGTGTTTGCTCTCGCTTTCCTCTCTGACATGCTGTCACAGGAGGCTGAGCGAGCGGTGCAGAGAGGAGAGCCCAGCCTCCAGTGACAGCGCTGTCTCCGCCCCCACACCGCTCTGCCGGACTGTGATAGGCGGTTGAACGTTGTGGGAGAAGAAACACCGGCCGCTCGCATCGCTCTCCTCCCGCAGCGCTTGGCCGGCTGTCACTTTCTCTCCTCCCCGCTGGGACACAGAGCAGCGCCCAGCAGGAAGGAGAGAAACCTGGCATGCGCCAATGTATTGGCAGGAAAATGGCACTTTCGGCATTTAGCCAAAAGTGAAATTTTCAGCCGATATATCGGTGCATCCCTAGTCTAAGCATTCCCTTTAAAAACAAAAGAATGGTGCCTGTTATTATATGTATGGGAAAATAAAGCCTCTTCTGTGCGCCTCTCTGATTTAGCTTCAATTGTTACTGGGGCCTTATTTTCTCTAAGTTGATGGCTAAACCTTGCCAACTACAATTCTACTGTCTGCGATTGGCTCACTGGCTGGAAAAGGCATTGTCCCCGGATAAGGGGATGACGGTTGGTGGCGCTTAGGCATGAAGTTACAGAAAATCAGGTTCCTG